GGCCACTGCACTCCAGTCTGGGCGACTGAGTGAGACTCCAGCTCAACAAAAAAAAAAAAAAATCAGAGTATTTGTTTTTTGCTGTTAAATTGAGTTCCTTGTATATTTTGGATATAATTTCAATGTTTCTTAACCTAGCTAATATTGGTATTTACCACCCTCTAGGAACTGAATTGTAAGAATTTGGTAGTCCCGGTTTATTTCTTGCTTGTAGAGGTTTTCATTACCTTTACATATTAAAACAGCAGTTTACTGAAAAGTCTGGGTGGAAGAAATAATTCAGGGAGATAAAATATTAGACTGAAAAGACTTGAACTCAGAGGTAATCAGCTGCCAAAATCCAGCTGCAAAATTCTTAGTTTCTGTAGCCAAACTTTAAGTCTTCACGTCCTCAATGTTATCTTTATACTTTTTTTTTGCCTTCTTTGTTACTTGATCTCTCCTGCATTGTCACTAGTGGGTGCATTGTGAGGATATTCTTAGGCAGCTCTTTTTTCAGGGCGGGCACCTTTTAAATATCTGCAGGTTTAATGATTCTTCAAGTTATAGTTAATCATTTAATTTTGAGTGGAAGGGAGACCATTTAGCCTTAAAAAAAAAATCTATTATTCTCAAGTGAGGTTTGTCATCTTCTTTACCAGATTTCCATGTGTTTTTTCCTAGAGTTCACTGGGCAGGGTAAGGCTCAGGTCCCATCCCCACAGTAGGGGTGTGGTGGGGAATGTGATCAGACTTGCTTTGTATGTCTCTTAGTCACATCACTGCCTTCCAGCAATTTCTGTGGACAAGTGAAAACAATCTGGGAATCTGGTTTTTAATAGTAGAGGTCTGCACCTCAGGACACACCGCAGTTGTATTTCCTCTGTACCAGTCAACTTTGAGACAGCTTGAAAAGAGAGCCTGAGATTGTAGAAAATCACATCCTGAAGCTTTCACGTTTTATAAAAATTGATCTAGAATTTACTTATTTATTAGGACTAATAAGTAATACATTATTTCGGGGCTTAAGATTTCTCTCTGTCATAGGTACATCTGGGGAAAAGGTCCAGCCAGACCACAAATGTTTGTACTGGGAGTTTGTCTCTTGTGTTTAGGAGCATTCTTGCTGGTTCAACAGCCGACATGGAAGGTTGGCATGTAGGTGAGAAGGAATCCTGCCTCTACGTGTTGAGAGTTGTTTCTTATTCCATTGTCCTTTCAGGAATTACCTTGGCCTTAAATATAGGTTTATATACTAAAAGTTGTAGGTAGCAAAATCTGTGTAAAGGCTCCTGCTTGAGGACACTTTGCTCTGCCCAGGGAGAATCATGAGATGTTCTGCTTCAGAGGTGAGTGGTCTCTGACTCCTTGTTGCCATGTGGCTGTCATGAGAAAAACTCAACTGTCTCAAGTCCGCCCTTCAGATGTGCCTTTTCCTTCATTATTTAATACGTTTGTGAAATTCCCAGTGGAACTTAGAATGTTGTGGACACAGTGGGGAGGTTCGCTTGTGTTCAGCACCTTGATGCAGGGATTTACTTAGTCAAAGGAAACAGAGGTAATACATAGCGGTAAAGAGGTTTAACATTTTAGCCTCATTTTAATTTTTTGTTTGAACCATACCCCACCCACAGGAAAGGAGGAAGATTCTGTGTATCTGGTAAAACGAAATTTGCTCTTTTATTTATGCACCCATTGCCCCAACCAGAGTCTTACCTACCTGAAAAAGGGTATTGGTGCCATATTTGTTGGTGTGCATGGTATAAAACTGCTTCTGTAGCCTGTCCTTCTGCTGATAATGTGCCTCTGGTGTATGTGTGTGATTGGTGGTTTTGTTTCTTGTTTTGCTTATTTTTTTTTTATATCTTATTCCAGTTGTTAAGTATTATTCAGCTGTACCATTCCACAGGATACGTTCTCTGAAGAATTTGGCCAGTAAGTGTCATTAAATGATTACAAAGAATCTTACCAAACTGGGCATGATGGCTCATACCTGTAATCCCAGCATTCTGGGAGGCTGAGGTGAGAGGATTGCTTGAGCCTAGGAGTTCAAGACCAGCTTGGGCAACATAGTGAGATCTTGTTTCTACCAAGAAAAATAATAACAAAAATAAATAAATAAAACTAGCCAGGCATGATGGTGCATGCCTGTAGTCCCAGCTTCTCATGAGGCTGAGGCAGAAGTGTCACTTGAGCCCAGGAGGTATCAAGGCTGCAGTGAGCCATGATCACACCACTGCACCACTACACTCCAGCCTGGGTGACAGAATGAGACCTCTACTCAGAAAAAGACCAGGTTGGCATGGTGGCTAAAGCCTCTAATTCCAGCACTTTGGGAGGCCGAGGTGAGAGGATTGGCTGAGCTCAGGGGTTCAAGACCAGCTTGGGCAACTTGGTGAGACCTCATCTTTACAAGAAGTCAAACCGGGCTCGGTAGCTCAGCCTGTAATCCCAGCGCTTTGGGAGGCTGAGGTGAGTGGATTGCCTGAACCCGCGGGTTCGAGACCTGCCTGGGCAACTTGGTGAGACGTCATCTCTACAATAAACCAAAAAATTAGCCGGGCGTGGTAGCATGCGCCTGTAGTTCCAGCTACTTGGAAGGCTGAGGCAGAAGGATCGCCGGAGCCCAGCAGGTCGAGGCTGCAGTGGCTGGGAGCGTGCCACTGCACTCCAGTCTGGGTGACTGAGTGAGACTCCAACTCAAAAAAAAAAAAGTCAAAAAATAATTCAGGCATGGTAACGCGTGCCTGCAGTTCTAGCTACTTGGGAGGCTGAGGTGGAAGGATCACCTGAGAGCATGCCACTGCACTCCAGCCCGGTGACAGAGTGAGACTCTAACTTAAAAAAGAAAAAGAAAGAATCTTGACAAGAACAACAATGACAACAAGAAAAAATCTTGCCGACTTGAGGTGCTAATAATGTTCCATAAAACCTATTGCTCTAGAGCTGCACTTTCTCATATAGTAGCCACCCAATGCATATGGCTATTTAAACTTAAAATAAATTTCGAGTTCTCAGTGTGTAGCTGATGCCTGCTATATTGGACAGTGCAGGTAGGGAACAAGTCCATCATGGTAGAAAGTCATGTTGGACAGTGCTGCTGTAGTGTTTGCCTTAATAGTTTTATAGGATGACTGTTCCCGATTTGTTCCTAAGTTACTGAACAACAGGAAAGTCATGTAACTTATAAGGGGTAAAGTATGTTTGATTTATATTGGGTAATTTACAAGGGAGATTTTTTTTTCTCCACTCTGGAAGCTAGGAAAAACATGAGTTCTTAAGAGAAGGAAAAAGGCTTTCTTTAAGCCTCTCCCAACCATCTCTCAAAGGAGTGGGCAATACTGGGTTTTTCTTTTAACTTTCTTAGAGGTCAGTGGAATTTTAAGACCTTTTTTCAGATTGGGTGTTAGTTTCTATGGAAAGTAAAATATAATAATGGAATGTGGATGTTTTTATTTCACAGTGGGTCTGCCAGTAGCACAAGTTCATCTCCTTTCTACCTTTTGTTCATTCCCACCTGCTCAGTCAGATTCTTTAGGATAATAATGTGGTTTGGCAGGTATTCAGTTAATGAATCACTTTTTCACTTACCCAGCTGTGTAGCAGAGAGATGACGCCTAGTACTTGTACAAAGACTGTCATCTCACACTTGTCAACCTTGTGTGCCCTAAAAACTGTTCTCAGAGTAGGCCATGTGGAATATCTGAGTGCTAGAATGTCTGTGATAAAGAGAACAGTATGATGTTTAGGAGAACTTTAGCTTTTAGTGTTTAGGAGAACTATAGCTTTTAGCAATCAGTGATATTGTGCCTAAAAGAAACAGAATCTGCAAGTTGGCTTACATTGGAAAGGGTCATTTTGTAGGAATATGGTAGAACTTGACAGTTTTTTCTGAAATAAAAAAGATAAACTTCTGGTGTGCAGTGCTTTAGTGTGAGAGAGCAGTGCCTCAAATCTAGTCTATGAGGCCCCTCAAGGGGTACGAGGAGCTAGTCCTGAGCAGAGGGAGTACTGGAGGAATGTAGCAGAGTGCCGTGATAGGTAGACATGTAAAGTGTCTGCTGTTTGATAGAGTTCCAGATCGGTTATACAGATCGCCTTCTCAGTATGTTTGCTTTTTAAAATATAATCCCCATTTCCATAGGAATAATGAATAAGGCTATAAGAAAGTCTTACAAAGAGTAAAAACAACTAAAATGATCTCTGATTTGGATCATGCGTGAGAGTGTGAAGGGGGAGGAATCATGGGAGGGCTATTCCTTCTTCCCGTTTTAATTCTGTGATTTACTCAGAAGAAAGTCTCTCACTCCATTCTGCCTTTGTTTAGGCTGAAAGTGAAGAAACTAAGGAGCGTCTGTTTGAATCCATGCTCAGTGAATGTCGGGACGCCATCCAGGTTGTGCGGGAAGAGCTCAAGCCGGATCAGGTAGGCCCGTCAGCTCAAACATGGCTGTTGCTCCAGATGTGAGTCCACCTCAGTCTGTGTCCCATTCTTAGATGGGATCCTGGTGGTCTGAGGCCACTACTCTCTTAGACACTTTTGTTTAATTAGGTGTGGCGGTTGGCTGACAAACAGCAAGGGCTGCTGGGTCCTATCGGGCTGTGAGATGCATTTCTCCCCACCCTTTTCCTCCTAATGATTTAATACATTACCTGTTAAGCCTGTTAGATTTTTTTTCTCCTGGTGGACTTCTCTGCTTTCTTTTTCTAAAAAATATTTCATTTAGGCACCTAGGCTAAAAACCTCAGAACCATTTATCTCTTTCCTCCCTGTCACCAAACCCTATTCATTGTTCCTTTTTAATGCCTCTCATCTATTGTTGATTTCACCTGTTTCTAATTAGCCTTTTGTCTTATTACCTACATTACTACTGAAGTCTCCTAATTGCTTCTCATATCTTGGCCTTGATTCCCTTCTCTAGACCTTTCTTGCAAGAAGTAAAAATTGAATCTTTCTGAATCCCGTTTCACTGTCTAATTATAAAAAGCCCAGTGATTTCCTCTAGGTCTTGTGCAGTGTCTTCATACTTTTATGATGATATGAGCAAAAAGTAAGCACTAGAGCATGTATCTCTGATGTGTTTATTTATACATTACTTACCTTACTATTCAACTGATTTGTAATACATAAAATGCATTAAAATAACATTTTTTACATGAGATAAATAGAAATAGAAATTCTTATTATTTTCTTCTTTTATAACCCACACTCCTTGGGTTTTGTGTGCCCTGCTTTAGAGACTACTGGTCTAGCAAATACGGTTCAAACTCCGTAAGCTGGTATACCACCCTTCCCCAGTCTGTTTCCAACCTGTTTCCAGCATTGTATTTTGCTGCATCCTTTGGGTCCTCTGCCTCAAGCTATTCTGCTTACCGTCTTCTTTTTGTTTTATTTTTTGAGTTGGGGTCTTACTCTGTCACCCAGACTGGAGTGCAGTGGCA